TCCCACAGAAGACTGAGACAGAATGCGCGAAAACCGTGGGTTATAAAAAATGCTTCTCCACTTAATAAAACATATAATGAAAACCTCGGTGGGGGTGGCATCATTCCGGGAGGAGCGGCGCTTGGCGGAGGAGGACCCGGCGGACCCGGTGGGACTGGTGGTCCCGAAGGAGGAATACTGGAAGGAGGAGGTGGCGGCACGAACGATGATGTTCCACGCGAAGGAGGTGGAGGTGGTGGTGTAGGCATTGTTGGAGTTTGTGTTGGCGGCGGAGGAGGCATGTTCCACTGAGCTCCTCCAGCTAAAATTGATTCAGAATGATAAGCTAATGAAATAAAAAGCTCTCAACAGATTATAAGAGAAACCTACCCGACATCGGCGGAGGAGGAGGTCTCGGAGTCAAGCCCGGAGTTGGCGGCACAGGCGGTGGAGGAGGTGGAGGCATGGGAGTTGCTGTAGGAGGTGGAGGAGGAAGGGCATGTGGAAATCCCATACTCATCGCAATCGGAGGTGGCATGGGTGGCATGCCTGGCATTCCCGGAATAACAGGCGGCATACCAGGGATCGGTGGTGGGAACGGGAGTCTGCCAGGAGCATCCGAGAACATCTAAAACAATATTAAAACTTCTTTAGGGAAGACCTGCTAAAGACAATGGCGTAAAAGATGACTTGCTTGGTTTGGCCGGTCCTTCGGGAACAGCGGATTTTGCGCAGCCAGCATTCTCTCCGCAGCTGTACCATGTCGTTCACCCTTCGCATCTTTTTTGAAGGCATATGAGACAGAGATCGCTCTGCAATCAATCAATCAATATATATATATATATATATTTATATTTATATTTATATTTATATTTACATTTATATTTATATTTATATAGTACCTGTTGCAAAGAAACTGTCCATTCATTGCTTCCATAGCCATGTCCGATGCTTCAAAAGATGCGAAATTGATGAACGCAAAGCCCTTACTATTTCCTGTCTCTGGGTCACGCATAATCTTCGGAACCTAATTGAAATGTTAAAAACTATTAAAAATTGCAGCGAAAGTAACTTACTTGAAGAATTACACCAAATGCACTGAAGGTGTCATACAGTAGTTTCTCATCCACCTGAAAATATTTCAATTAAAAGATATTGGACAATAAGCTCAGAAAGAGTAGAAAGTGTCCACAATATACACCTCCTCTAAGAAACTAAGCTTAACTCCCAATTTCCCTCACCTCTGGATCCAAATTTCCAACGAAAATATTTGCACCAACATCCATATTCTTCTCATGAGCACTTGCTTTATTCACCTAAGAAGTATTGTGCATAAATTAAGGACTTTGAATATACGTACCTCATAAATGAACATTATAAACTTTGACCACATAATACATATGTTAACACCGAAACTGAAATCTGTTCAAACGAAGACG